AACATTACACARACTAAACACCATTTATAAACATGTCAGCCTTCAAAAAGCTCCAATCTGATGGAATCAGATGTTTCTTAAACCGATTAGTTCTGTGCCAGAGTGCTTACAAACTGTTTCCTCAGTTCATGACCTGAAAGATAAATTTAAAGATTTCCTGAGGTTCTGGAGAGAAGTACAGATATTTTAGCTTCACATCGTTCCATCGATTTAAAAGAAATAAAGTGATTCTTGCTGTTTTTGTTGTGATAGTCTCTGCCGCTAACATTTCAGCTCAAAGATGCAGATAGTTTAAAGTCTTTTCATTTAAACTGTTATGTTCATCTATGGATTATGAAAGTAATTTCATTAGAAACTGTTAGGGCTGGCCAGTGGGGACGCTTATGAAAAGACTAAGGAAATGAAGACAATTAGTCGCAGGACTAATCTTCTCCCCAGTTTATAGGATTAAAAACTTTTGGTGTTTTACTCAGGAGTTTTGTTTCATCCACATTATGCTGAGGCCTGTGCAGGAAGCCCAGGGTTATCATTACCACAGTTTCTTTTCACAGGCATTCCTCACTGATTAATAACACAATAAAACCTGACCAGCTGATTTATTGTTGAAGAAATTATTCCTTAATTCACATTTTTTKGAGCATTAGATAGTTTCAGATTAGGGTTTTGTGGAAAAGCTATGAACAGTTACCATTTTAGAGGTCTCTTTGAACAGCAGAGGGTTTCTCCACCTGCAGTTCCCTGATTGGCTGCAGCAGCTGCAGCTGATTCCACTGATGAGCTCCAGGGTTTCTAAGGCTGTGTCCAAAACGACAGGCCTGGTCCTCTGGAGGACCCAGACCACCCTGTCGAGGTGGGCCAGGTCCTTGGTAGACTGGGAAGACCGGAAAAAAAACAGTCTGTGAATTTGGACGGTCTAGCCCAATGGTTCCCAAACATTTTATCTTCTGACCCACAAAATATCCATGGCAAAAACTTGTGACCCCAAATATTACTGGTCTGAGTACACAAACTTCATTAATAACTGTAAAAACACAGCCCTTTTAACAGTCTAAACAGCTTGTACACAAATATAAATACTTATTTATACTTATTTTGTGTTTTTTTAATAATTATAG